CTTTTCGATACAATTGCCATTCAAATTGAGGCACTTGTCAAAACGTGTTACAAGGTTTGAATTTCCAAACTATATGACATCAAATACATTTAAAAACACATAACAAACACATACATGTGGGCAGATATTAATAGTGTACATAATTGTGTTTTTTTTTGCTTGCTCGGTTCTATTTTTGTTTTTAATGCATTTGTTTTTTAAAAAAACAAGCAAACATGTTTTGAGGTTTTTGGTTGAAGGAAAACCAACTATTGACAAGGTCTGGGGAAATTGTATGTTATGGTGTTTTTTTGGGGGGGGTGGATTTTTATTGGTTGTGGATTAGGGATTATGAGAATGGTGAAGAGATAAGGACTCACAGTTGATAATCCTGAGTCTAACGTATGGAATGGGTTTAGTGATTGTGGTGCCATTCAGACATTGAACTCCTGCTTACATACAGTATATGTTTTCTTACAATCAAAAGGTTGGCTCGGCCTCTAACACAAAAGTGTTTAGATATGAAGATATGACAATTATTGATGAATTATTGAATCCAATCTGCTCTTCTTTTTTTCCCAAAGAGAAATGTCCACTCTAAAAGAAGAGATTATTGAAGCATTGCAAAAGCATCTCTTGATGAATTTCAGCCTAGCAAACCTGGATGCTACAACAGATTATTTGGACAATAATACTACCAGAATTTTCTACAAAGACCAAATTATATCCGACTATGTTGAAAGTATCATTTTCTCTATCTTATTGATCATCTGCTCTATTGGAGTCCCATTAAATGGAATTGTTATCTGGCTGCTTGGCTTCCAAATGAAGAGAAACCCTTTCACAGTATTGATTCTTAATTTAGCTATTGCCGACTTTGGATTTCTCATCTTTATGACTGTATATTGCATTGACATTTTTACAAGTTTTATACAGCCAAGAATTCTCCAGCATATCTTCTTTTCTCTCTCCGATGTCACATATATCAACGGTCTATTTCTTCTGACGGCCATCAGCATTGACCGGTGTGTGGCTGTCCTGTTCCCAATTTGGCATCGCTGTTCCCGGCCAAAATATTTGTCCCCTGCTGTCTGCGTCTTCCTCTGGATCTTCTCTTCCCTCCTGATGGGAATTCATTACATTATGCAATATTTGTTTTGGAATCTCCATTTGGTTGTGACTGCTGTGCTTTGCCTTCCTCTGATCACAACCTCTACTGTGATCCTATTAATCAAAATATGCCTTAAATCCAAACAGATGAAACGTGGAAGACTTTTAGTGATGATCCTAATTACTCTTCTCTGTTTCCTTATTCTTAATCTTCCATTATACATCTACGTGTTCATTACTCATTTTCTTAAGGAGGAGAATTTCTTTGACGTTGTTGAACTGGATTTCTACTTAAGTCCAAGTTCTTCTCTAAACAGCAGCATTAACCCAGTGATTTATTTTCTGGTGGGGAGAAAGAAAAGACCTCAGTCCAGGGAGAGCATCAAGGTCATTTTTCAAAGAGTCTTCAGGGAAGACGAAGCTCCTGAAACCAGATAAAAATTTACAAACAATTTCATAAGCCTCCGCAAATGCCAAATTTCAAAATGCTGGATCTCTCTTATGAGTACAAAATTGTATTTCTTGTTTCAGAAATAAAGTATGAATAGGTTTTCTGGGCCTCCAAAAGAATGATATCAGAGTTCATCTTGAGGATTGGGGGAAAATGTGGGAAGCAAGAGTTTTCCCTCCAAAGTGTGCCATTTACACAATCCCGCAGTCATTAGATTAAGCCAACTTAAGCCAACATCCTGCTGGCTTCCGTAACTGAAGTCACTGGGGAAGCAGTCACTCAGATGAGAAAGTGGCTGGTGTCGAGTGAGGAGGGGAGGAGCGTAAGGAGGAAGGTGAGCAAATGGCAAACAGCAACAGGAGACTGGGCTTTGTATGAACGTGTGAAGGAGGGTCAAGGAAGATGTGCAGGGATATCCAAGTAACTTGGATGCAAAAGTGCAGATGGGCTGGGGGAGGGTGCATGGGCGGGAGAAACTTATCCCAGCAAACTGTGGCCTTTCCTGCCAGCTTCCCCACTGACTCTCTGGGCAAACCAG